GGTGGTCTCATACTGTTCTCATGCTTTCTTGAACCGCATCTCCCCTGGTCTAAATGTTATAGGGCCTCCTATCTCTTCACCTACCATCATTTCTCTTAGTTTATCTTCTGTTAGAGTTTATCTCTACCATGTTTACTATGGCAAATGGCAGAAATGGATCCTTATCCACGACTATAGACTCCTATTTTGAGAACTTGAGGACACATTTATTAATCAGTCTTGAATAATGTTCTTAAACCCTAACAAGACTTGGTGTTGTAACTCTAAGAGTGATAGTATTTACAGTACTCCTTCCCTTTTTGTTCCTCTTTCAAAGGGATCTTATGGCCAGCAAGCAACAAGATGAAATTCTCCTTCTGTAGGAAATTAAAAATTTCCTTTATTTTAGAACTGTTGAAGTTGTATTGCACTGCATTAAGCCTTTTGGGAGTCTCTTTAGCCTTCCTTATCAGGGCTAGGCACGGGTAGTTGCCTTTATTTTTTAGCTCCACCATTGCTACGTGAAGGTCACTAAAGTACATGCCTGTTGTAGTCTGTCAACGATGGTCTTCCTCCTTCAGCAATTCTTAGCAACCACAAACCTTGTCTGTGAGCTCGTAAAATTCTCAAAATTCTATCCCCTAAAACTTATTTTGAAGCTCTATATCAAAGCCTACCTAAGCCAGCTTGACCAATTCAATCTTTAAAAGTGGCACATGGCACTTGCTCCTCAACCTTTTGAACCTCACCAAATATTGTCCCGCTATCTCTTCAGCCTGTTGGGTAAGCTGTAGAGTTCTACTATGCTGACCTCCAGCTTTGCCTTATAGAATTGCATTTGAAACTTCTGCTCCTTCTCTATCCGGCTAAGAATTGAATTGTGGGGTAATGAGGTGTACCATGTGAATGCTAGGCCTATAAGGGTGTTTGGGAACAATCTCAGTTTTAAATTGTGCAAAACCTGTGGCATAGTCTTTACTCTCTGTCTTTAATTTTTGGTAACCAGCTTGTCTTGCTGAGATACTTAGGCAAGATGATGTTGGTCCCCCGAGATTCGGAATCATTTAAGATCGTGTCTTTATGTATCAATAGTTTAGGGTTTGCAACTGGCAGAATTTTGACATGCTCATCCTACCATGGCTTTCCATTGAGCTCGGGGCCGGTCTTTTTGTTTAGATTTTTTGATTGGGCCTAACTCTCCAATCACTTAGCCCATATGGCTTTATGACCTACCTAATGCTTTGGCAAACAACGTTTCATATTTAGCCCAAACAGTTTCTTTCATGTTGGAAAGCAGGTAGCTAAAAATAGAGTAAAATTACCTATTATCAGTCTCTGCATGAAACCCCGTCTTTGTTCCTGATCTTTTAGCCCAATTGATAGAAGAAAATATTAAATAGACTAACTAATGTTGGAGTTAATTAGATTGGATCAATAAAATATATAGGCATATAATCAACCATCTAAAAAGGAGAGAATATATCTCACATATAACTCGTTATACCTGAGAAATTCTCAATTTTCATACTATGTATGTTTTGCTTACCTTAGGATTTGGAATGAAAAAATTCTCTTTTGCTGTTGAGTTGGCATAAGCCTCTTCTATAAAGACGCTGTTTACAGTCATCAGAAAGTTGAATTGTAAGAGGGAATTTAGAAGCTATGAATTTAAATAAATCCCTAGGACAAAAAAAAGGTAGGCTATTCACTGGAAGCTGAATCTTTTGACATGCTCTTAAAGAAGGTTGGGGATCATCTTGATTTTGAGTTCCGAAGAAGATCATCCCATTCTTACTCTTAAGACATCCTGAATAGTTCAAAACTGCTTTGACGGGCTGACTTTGATAAGTATACTTTTACATTTGTACAGTGATATTTCATATGGCAAGATTTGAAAATATTTTAGGAGAAGGAGGAGGAATGCTGCAAGAGAAGACATCACAGCTTTCATTTTTCAAATGCTTCAGAATGTGGTTTTAGACTATACTCTCATTTGAAACTCTTTGATTGAAGTGCACAGTTTTGTTAGCATTGGGGTCTTTGCAGCCATGAATCAGCAACATTCCATAGTTTTATGTTGTGAAGTAGTGAAAAGGAAGTTGAGCTTGCCTAGATTTCCACAGTCAAAGAAGTCTAGACACTCTACAGGAAGAACGCATGAACCATTCCTCTAAAAGCTGCTTCACTCACAAAATATAAGTTGAGCCTATGATTGTTTCAAGTAAAAACTTGCTTGAAGGTTTTATCCTGTTTGGAAATTACGTGTGTTTGGATTAAAAAATTTATAATTGAGGTTAGAATTCAACTAAAGTTAACAAACTCAGATTAGAGAAAGAGTTAGTTAATATAACGTGATTTATGTTTGAATATTTTTTTTTCAAAAATCAATTAGATAAACTAAAATTCGTTTGAAAGATTTGATTCAAAAGTCAGTTGAAATATTTAATAGCAAAATTAAATATGAATTTTTTTTGTATATATTCTTTGACTAACTAATAAGTAAAAAATATTAAACTTAAAAATTAAGTTTTATACAATTTCAGTTTTATGTTATGTATAAACAAGTAGTTATTATTTTATATATATATATATATATATATTCATTGAAAGCAAGACTTTTTTGAAAAAAAAAATGCAATCTAGTTTTATACAACTTAAATTTAAATAAAATAAATCTATAAAGTTGAGGGAAAATCTAAATAATGAATGAACAGAAAATAAAAAAATAAATGTTAATGTTTTATACTTTTTGGCATTTAACGCTGGAGCTCTGGTGGATAGATAAATGAACAAAAAATAAAAATAGTAAATGAATATAAAATAATAAATGAAGCAAAGCAGGAACTCGAGTCAGTAGATGAGAAGAGAGAGAAAGCATTGAACGCCTATGTGAATGGAGAAGTTATGTCTCATAGCTTGAGGAAAAATGCTCGTTTATACCCTAACTTCAGATGGAATTTTTTACTCATCCAAACAATTTTTTTTGAACTTTTCATGTCCTAACCTCAATTTTGTTCATTCTAAACTTAAGTTAGAAACTAATACAAACATGATCTAAGTGTTGCAATCTGTTCTTGCAAGGAACACACAAGTGGATGGTCTGCGACACGGCAGTTGACTTGGCTATAAGACAAAAATTAAAGACCAAGAAGATGAACGAGACATGTGTCCTTCTCTCAACGTAACATGGCTCACAGATTCTTATCAATGCTAATCTTATTAGGTCCTTAAGTAATAATTCTCACAGTTGTCAATATCGTCAAATAAATGACGAGCTAATCACATTATAAATCAAATTGCCGAATATTGAATTGTAAAACTAAGATGAATGCAAGTTTTGAAAAGGATATATGGAGGAAACAAGTGAGAAGAGAATGAAAGATTGTGAAGGTAAATTGCAGAAAAGCAGAGGATTTAATAATTAATAATTAAGCAGAAAGGTGAATGACAGAGCGAGAACTGAATCAAGGTTTGATAAATTAGAGCTTGTCCTGGACATGAAACAATAAAACTCTGGGCAAAGATTTAATTACTTCTCATTCTAAATTATAAAACAATATAAAATAATATTACACATATCAATAAAGTTCAATAATAATAATACTTTATAAACTTATTATTTTAAAATAAAAATTTAAACTTTTAAAAAATACATTTTATTTAATATAATTTTGAATTTACTGTCATTTTAATTCTCCTCCTACTTAAATGATAATATTAAAAAAAATTGTTAATGATTCCTTATTTTAATTAAATTGTCTTATAGAACAAAAAATATTTTCCAATATTATATTATAATTTGAGACATATGAAATATAATATTCCCCGCTACAAAAGCATGATCACTTTTTACTTTTTAGATATGCACTTGTTAACTTTCGATCCGTATATGCTAATAGAAGTAAAGGAAAACGACAAGTAAAAACCTTATAAAAAATTTATCACATTAGAAATTTCAATATTGAATTATGGGAGAATAATTATTGAATTTGAGAACTTTAATATAAAAAAAATTTAATTTGACATTAACTTTGTTCTTGGATCCTTACTTGTCCTTCTCCCAAAAAGTAATTGATGAGAACATACATGGATAGAATAGGATGAAACATTTGTTACTTTAAATTATGTTATGACATATGCTCTATCTCGTTCTTTTTTATAACACTATGTTAACAATTTGCATAATTTAAGGAATTCAACTAAAATTAGTTAATTTTTTTTAAAGTATAGAGGTGCAGTGTGTCTCAGTTATTCTACAATTCCTTAACCGCACATGTTGCCGTGGCCCATACGGCAATATGTAACTTGAATTATAATGACAAAGTTAATTATGTAGTCCTATCTTCTAAGTCAATTTTTACTCTAGTCCTAGTAATTTAAATTCTTGTTGTTTTTTCTCTTATTAGATAAATTATGTTATATATGTCATATAGGAAAACATTGATAGCGTCTTTCAAAAGGGTTAATGCCCCAATGATTTGAAAACATGTGATTATCTATTAGGCATCACATTTTATTGGTTTTGCAATATGGCTAAGTTATATTGTTAGATCAAATAATCTGGTCATATCTAGTAGCTCGCAAAGTCTACTTTGTGTTCATTTAAGGAGGGTTCAAAAGGGGGGGGGGAACAAGACCAACAAATACCAATCCAATCACACAAAACGAACCAATCAATGCTTTTTGAAGACTTTTATATGAAAGGGAAAAAAAAACATTGTGTACTTTTCTAATGCTTCGGATGGATGAGAGATTGAGAAAGATGCTAATTAATTATGATATGGAAGTTCTTCGGAGCTAATTACAATTACAATCCAAATGAAAGATCAGAATCTAACCAATTTCAGTTTAAGAATAAAGACAAATAATAATTAAAAAAACAGATTGCTATCTTTAAAGAACAGTTAAAAGGAAAGAAAATAAAAAAAATTAGTAAGAAAATATTTTCTTGTGTTTCAAAGAAAAATATTGCGGGTAAAGGTGATCCTCTAAAAAGAAGTAGCAGCCTGAAAGATGATGAGTGAAAACAAAGAAGTAGGAGAGAGAAGAGCAAACACACAATAATTTTCTTCCTAAAATAATAATGGTGGGTTTCACATCTCATTTACTTCCTCACTTTTCCTTTCACTCTTTTTTTTCTTCCTTATCTAAAAAGAGAAAAATTGTTTTCTCTCCATCCAAACTTGATTTGAATAGAGATAAATGGGAGAAAAATAAGATGAAAATACTAAAAGAAAAAACTTCTAAAAATAATTAAAAATTTTAATTATTTTGGAGAGTTCATCATCCTATCATTCTTTACTTTCTTCTAAATTTCTTTTTTTTTTTTTTTGCCAACAAGGTGAAATATATTCAAATAAATTGATCAGTACAAAAACAGAGTATCTTCTAAATTTTTTCTCATCCATCCAATCCAAATAAAAAATAAAAGAACAAACTATCTTTAGCCTGAAGTGCGAACACTAGGCCGATTGAAGCTCACAAGAGCTTCTATTCCATACTCCTCCATTGCTTCATTTTATTAAGAATCATGCCCTTTCCCTCTTTCATTCCCCAAGATGCGAGACTCACTCATTAACATGCATGGAGCACTCCCTCATCCTTATGTGCTTTTGAATTTTTCAATTTTGAATCTTCCTATCTCATATGAATAATGGGTTGTTTATTTAATAAGATATTGGGTTTTCTATAATTATTGTGTGCTTTGTAATATGATTTCAGTAATTGTCTAGGAACGACCTAATAATACTTTAGTGGTACTGGGTTTTCTGGGATTCATTAAGATCAAGAAATTGGGAGGGCAAGAAATAGTTCGAAGCCTAATAACACTTCACTAAAAATGCCTACACACTATCTCATTCCTTTGTGTGTTTGCCTCTGACCGCTAATCTGATCTGATGCTTTCAAATTTGCCACATGTCATCATACATTGGCTGTAAAGATTAATTTATTCCTTATATGGGATCCAAATCTACATCAAAGCAGCAGATCTTGGTCAGTGAAGGTTATTAAACGCTCAAATTAGGATTAGTAGATTCACTTGTCCATTTCTCAGTAACATTGTTTGGTGAAGACGATGACTTGAAGAACGTTGCTTGATTAAGGGTTATTGAAGCCATCATGGGTTGTGCTGCATCAATACCTGCTTTATTCTTTGAAATTCCACTGCCACCATTGTCATTGTCTTCCTTGGCATCCTTACTATCTTTTTTCTCCCTCTCAATTTCCCTCAAAATATCTAAAACCTCATCAATAGAAGGTCTCATCTCACTTTTTATTTGCAAACACTGAAATGCTAGTTCTCCCATCGCAGTCACTTTCCTTTTTAATTCACTATCCTTCTCAATCCCTAAACATGGATCAACCAGCTCCTCAAATTCATTTCTCTGAATCTTCCTCACTGCAAGACTCCCCAATGTAATCTCACAATTATTCCTTCCCATATCAACCACTGGCAAAGAAGATATCAACTCAATGAGCACAACTCCAAAGCTATATACATCACTGTTATTTGTCAGCCTGAAGCAAAAGTGATACTTTGGGTCAAGATAACCTGGTCTTCCTTGTGGAGCTGTAGAAACATGGGATATATCCTCAGGGAACAACCTAGAAAGTCCAAAATCTGCAGCCTTAACACATAAGTTGTTGTCAAGGAGAATGTTGTTGGTTTTGACATCACGATGGATGATCCCGGAAGCATGAAGGTAAGCCAATGCACTTGCAGTTTCTATAGCAATTTTGATACGTGTAGGCCATGCCAGCAAAGTAGGCTTTGTAGAGTGGCTACGAAGGTGACTGGCAAGAGTGCCATTTGGGATGTATTCATAGACAAGGAGGAGCTCACGACTTTGACGAGAAGTGCAGCCATATAGGGACACAAGATTTTTGTGACGCAAGCAAGTGAGAATCTCAACTTCTGTCATAAACTGTTCCACTCGCTTGTAGCTATGGTTATATAGGTGTTTCACTGCAACTTCTCACCTATCTTGAAGCTTCCCTATAAAAGAAATGGCTTTAAAGTTTATAGGAGAAAACAAAAGATTATAAAAAATGGGAAGAGAGTGATAGAGAAGATGACCATAGTAAACAGAGCCAAAGCCTCCATCTCCAAGTTTGTTCGAGGGATCAAAGTTATTGGTTGCACTTTGAAGTTCATTGTAGGAAAAGATTGGGACTCCAAAGAAGAGTCTGCCACTGTCTGGATCTGGCTCATTTGAGTAGTGATTCATTGATTGGAGCCTGACGTGTGATAGAGCATTCTTTTTACGTTTGAAGAGTCGGAAGCTAAACAACAACGCAAATGCTAGAATCCCTGATCCCACTCCAAAACCTGACCAAACAATATCAACTCTTACTTGTGTAAAGGGAATGTACGTTTGATTAAATATTTCACTAAAGGTCGTATTTATTGTTTCTTGGCAAATCTCATAATGTGAATACAATAACAGCTTTATAAAATAATATATACAGTAATACATGATCCTGAATAATGTTGTGGGAAAAAGAAGGTTGCTGATCGAAAAGGAATAAAAATGAAGTACAATTACCTATTATCAACAGCAGCTTCGAAGTCAGTCTTTTATACTGATCGTCTGTCTCAGTTTTTCCTTTTACTTCAGGTTCTATCACAGTTAAGCAGCTAATTGGTCTTGGAGATAATTATACTAGAACAAATATGTGCGCGCGCGCGCGCGTGCAGAGTTAATTTGACAGTTGATATGAATAAAAACTTCTTTTACTCTAATCTTCTATCACAGTCAAGGAGATATGAAATAGACTGACTCATTAGTATTGGAGTTAATTAGATTAGATCAATAGAAGAAATAAATAAGCTGAGTCAATTGGATTATTTATAGGCACACAAACAGCCTTCTGTATATACCTGAGAAATTCTCATTTTTCATACTCTGTTAAGCATACCTTTGGGTTTGGAACAATAAAATCCTCCAGTGCTGTTGAGTTGGCATGAACCTGAACCTTGAGAAAATTGGCATCGTTGACAATCTTCAGAAAGTCCAATTTGAAGGAGGAAATCAGAGGCTATGAATGAAACTGGTTCCCCAGAAAAAGTAAAACCATTCAACGGAAGCTGAACCCTTGAACATTTGCTAACGAAGATGGATGATCATCTTGAATTTGATTTGCCAAGTAGATGTTCTCATCCGTACTCTTAGGACATCCTGTATAGTTGAACAATTGCTTTGGAGGATTAACAACGAGCTTCTTGCATCTGTACGCTGTTATATACGCGAAGATCCGACAATAACCCAAGGCTGATTTGGGAGGAAGAGTCATGTTGTAGCTGAAGACATCACAGCTATTAGTTCTCAAACGATTTTGTAAATCTTTGTCTGTGACGAGAACAGTAAAAGGAAAGTCGCCTTGACTCTTCACTTGAAACTTAGCTTTTCCATTGACTTTAACAGTTTTGTTAGCGGAGGGATCTTTACAACCATAAATCGGTAATATTCCACACTCCTTGCGTTCTGGTGTGGTGAGAGGGAACATGAGCCTGCCCAGATTTCCACATTCAAAGAAACCTGGACAGTCTCAGAACAAGGAGACAGAGCAAACGAGACGAAGAAGAAGAAGAAGACGAACAACACATGTGGTCGAACAACCATTCTTCTGAAAGCCTCACTCACGCAGAGAAAAAGTTCAGACTGAGATTACTATTGTTTCGAGCATTAACTTGCCTGAATGTTTTCATCCCTTTGGAGAAATAAGTGTTGTGAGTCGCTTTCTTCAGGGAACGCGCAAATGCAAAGTCTTTGTGACACAGCAGTTGACTCAGCTACAAGACAAAGACCAAAAAGATGACTGGGACACGTGTCCGTCTCTCAGCATAGGGTGCTTCACAGACTCTTAACAGTTGGTAATTAATAACAGGTCCACGAGTGATGATGTTCACGTTTGTTTACATCGTCAAATAAATAAGGTTAACTTATTTAAAGAATAATAGATGGTGAATGAAATTAAAATGTCGAAAAGGGAAAAGGAATTAATAATGAGGCAGAAAGGTGGATGATAGAGGGAAGACTGAGTCAATTTACGTTTGATAAAGCGTGTGGTGGACGTGGAACACAATAAAACTTTTGGGAAAGTTCACATAATACACGGTATTATTTATAAATAGAAGCAATTAATTATTTAATCATTTAATTTTTTAACTCATTTATAATCAGCCTCTCAATTTTGAGTTGCTGTTACTCAATCTCTTAATTATAACTCGCTGTAATTTAGTTTTATAATTTTTAACTTACTTATAACTCGGGTTTTATTTTTTAAATTTTTTAAAAAATTATCCTAATTAAGTAAGATGAATAAAAAAATAATCATATATTATTCTAAAATATCCTCATCTTGATTTTTGATGTGTGATCTAAACTAACATGAAAAAAGAGAATTTAACAAAAGTTGTGGGACTAAATTATAAGTAAGTTAAAAGTTGAAAAATTAAGTCATAGGCAAGTAATATTTGAAGGATTGAATTGTAATAAGTTATAGTTGAAAATTGAGTTACAAGTAAGTTAAAAGTTGAACAATTAAAAAATTAATTTTCTGTTATAAATAACTTCTAATATTTTCATCATAATCAAGAAAAATTTTAAACTCTATTAAGTCTATCTAAAATTTAACAAGTTTTTAATGTTATTCCTATTAAATATACATAATTTAAAAATAAAATACACCAACATTCAATATCATTTCAAACATTTAATAAAAACAAAAACATTAAAGATAAATACTAATTATTAAGATACTTTATAAATAAAATTAAAATAAATACTTTTTTATTTTGTAAATAACATCAGAAGTGTACGTGTTACCTAATGCATAAGGATATCACTTTTTAGATTATAAATATATAATATTTGTGTTGCCTTTTGATCCGCATGCCAATCGAAGTAAAAGAGATAGAAAAAGAATGAAACAGTATTTTGTGTTTGATAATTGAAACAGTGTTATTTTAAATTATGTTTGGCATATACTGTCTCTGGTTCTTTTTTCACAAGACCATATACTTAAGATCTAACTCACCTAAATTTTTAATGACCCAAAAAATTTTGTAATTTTTATATGGAGAGAATTAGAAGAAGAAAAAAAGAGTGATGGAACAACATTTCATTTATATACTTGAGATCATGAAAATGTAATCTTCACATGGAGAGAATTAGAAAAAGAACTACTGGAAAAATTCAATTTAGTGAGGGACGAATCCCTCACTAAATGGCATATATCCCTCACTAAATGAAATTTAGTAAGAGACTTCATCCCTCACTAATTTTATTGACAAAAATAGCATCACTTGCAATTGGTCACATGTAAGTCAACTCATGCCATGCCATCTACTATCTCATGCCTCATCACCCACCATGTGTGTGATGACTCATGTCATGTTATCCTCCTCACATCACATCATCTTCTCACTGCCATGTCACATATTCATTATCTTTATGTCAAAACTAAGACTTGAACTCTTAACTTCCTACCTTTCTCAAATCTTATATTCTCCTTCTTTGCCAATTGAACTAAAATGTATTGGCAATCATTATATGAAAAATAAAATATATATTATTTAACTATATATATATAATAATACATTATAAAAACACACATGCATATGATATTTAATTTTCAATTATTAATATGTTAAACATATTTATATTTATATGACTCTTATATTACATTTTTTAATAAAAATATTCTTTCTTGTAAGGAAAATGAACTTAAGACAAAGCAAATATTAAATATTAAATAATTTTATTATGCATATTTAAGTTAATTTTTAAAATTAATTTTTTTAAATAAAAATAACTAAATATATTATTCATTAAAAGTCATTTCCAAAAGTCAATTTTTTTGTAATAATTAATTAGGAATATAATCCTTTGCTAAATCCATCAATAATTATCCAATTTTAGAAAGAGATGACAGTTTCTCGCTCTTTTTTTTACTAATTATTTTATTTTAAAGAGGAATTGATAGCTATTCTCTATTTTATTCACTAATTATCTTATTTTATAAAAGTATTAACATTCTCTCACTAATTTTAGATCTAGTTATGAAATCACCATTCCTTATTAATTTCCTCACTAATTGGTATTTTATAGAGGAATAGATAATCCCTCACTAAATTTCCTATTAATTCACTTTTTTTTAGCAGTGAAGTGTATGAATCGAATGATAATATATGATTCTCTTCTGTAACTAGAGGTGAAGCACGACTCATCTATTCCACACTTCTTCACCACACATGTTGCAGTCACGGCAATGTGTAAGTCGAATTATAATGACAAAATTGATTATTTAGTCTAATAATTTACGTCAATTTTTAATTTAGTCTTTGTAACTTAGATTCTTCTAGTTGTTTTTAATTTCTCCAGTTAGATAAATTAATACCTTTATTTATAGGAAGTCTATGGGGGACAAAAACCTCCCTGATTTTTTTTTTTTTGTTTTTTGACCGAAACCTCCCTGATTATGTTATGTGGATGTCATATCGGAAAACATTAATAGCATTTTTTAAATGAAAAATTTCAAACAGGTCCCATACTCTAAAATTATTTACAAATAAAGCTTCCGAAATTTAAAAATTATAACTAAATTTCTTAGGACTTGAGTGTAATTTGATGTTGAGGTGCAAAGATATTATTGCCTCTGTTAATTTGATTTTCACTTACAATTTAACTTCAATAATTTAAAATAAAAATTCATAATTCACAAGTTTTTTTTTGGATGAAAAGTGATTCATTAATACCAAAATGCTGCAATTCATAGTACATTAAAGTGCTCATTTCTCTTTCGTCCTTCGTCCTCTTCTCTAATAAAAGATGGAGGACGGTTAAAAAAAAAAATGATTGTCCAAGGATAAAGTATGAGCAAACTTTGCCAAAGCATAAGCTTGTCTAACATAATCCCTATTAACAAAATTAATGCTCACATCCCAATCTCTACCCAAAAGTAATCTGGCTTCCTGTATGATATCTTCAAAAGGATGGTTCTAAAAGGAGTCCCTCATAATCAAGCTTATGGCATTAGTACAGTTAGCATAACATTCACTTTTCTGATTTCAAATGTCTAGTAGTACAACAAACCAAGTGCAATAGCTTTTACCTCAACAATAGTAGGTGGCAGAGGTTCGACTTTTGCACAGAATCCTAAAATCCATATGTTGTCATGATATCTCATGATTCCACCAATAGTGTTGCCCTCCCTTTGAATTATTGAAGCATTCGTCTCAAAAGAGAAGCAATCAGCATTTAGTTGGTTCCTATGAGCATTTGGCTTTCCATCCCTATAACATCCTAATTTTTTTAATCTTGTATTGGTTGCTAATCAAGAATGAATTAATAATTAGCAAATGATTAGAAGTTTGGACGACTACTTGGTGATTTGAGTCTTTGAGGTATTAAATAAGCAGAGACGGGTGAGGTGATCACATCTCAAAACAAAGTGTGTGTGTGTGTGTGCAGTAAGGATTCTCCTCACTGTACCACGCTCCGTGATATAAGCTGCCTGTACCATGATGCATGGCACAAAAAATATGATAATGAGTCGTGATTTGGCTTGAAGTTCGAAAGGAAAAAGGGGGAAAAAATGAAAGGAGAAGAGAAGAGAGCAGAGGTTTGCTGGGGCAAAAAGAGTTGGAAGCTTGAAAGATATTTTCGATCGGTAGCTTATCAGACAAGTCTTGTATAGCCCTTACCTTCGATTCTATTATAATTTTCTTAGTATGAGTTATAGAAAAATTGAATTGGAAAAATTTTAAGGGATTAATTTCTTACCTTATAGTAATAAAAAAGTTCTCGAGAGTTAAATTAAAGTTTTGTGACTAGTTAGGAGTTGAATGATAGAATGTTGGAGCTGGAGGCTTCAATTGGCCCTAAATTAAAGGGAAAATAGGGTGGAAATTAAGTAAAAGAGAAATAGGATCACTAGAAGTGATAGAAAGTGGTAATCAAGGGATAATGAACCTAGATTGACTAAGTGGAAAGACATGGATGATTAGTTATAGCCTTAATTGACAACTAAGTGTTTTTGGTCAATCGAATCAATTAACTAATAATGGCAATTGTCTGTAGATTGGCATATTTTACGTGTAAGTTAAGAAAGGAAGCTTACAAAGAGCTTTAGCAATTGTGAAAGTCCACAGGTAACCTGTAACATCCTCAATTTTAAACCAGATTAATTAAGTCCAATTAGATTAATTAAGTGTATTAACGAGGTGTGTAGCTAGACAAGCCTAACGGGCATGTTTGATTGTGATTTTCGACCCTAAATGGGGGTTTAATGAAGAATCGGTTTACTAGGAAAGAGAAGAGGAAGAAATTTGAAGGGCAAGACTCTATGCCATGCACCGCAGCTTGTGGATAGGCTGCTGCAGTGCATGAATGTTAAAACGCCTAGGGAAGCCTTCTTTGTGCCATGCACCGCAACGTATGGTCACTTTCCTACTATCTTAAGATTGCAAAATGAAGTAGAAAGGAGAGGAGAAAACAAAAATATACGA